ATCATGAATTACAGGAACTCATAGTTGTGAGATCAACTATACTCTCTAATTAAAGGTATGATGCAGTCCACATACCAATCTTATCGCATATCATTAATATCCCTTTCTCGATGATCATTGATTCGGGCTATTTTTGGACCTTATGTTATTTCATATAAGCCCCCACTTACTTATTGACAACATAAGTCCAAGTGAACACAATTATGAATAGGATATTGACAATCGAAATACTTAATCATCAATGTGTAATACCATATATATCAAATATATAAAACTGAATGTGATCAAGTACATATATCTTTAAAAAGTGATTGTCGCTAGGACATATATACTAACACCTTGCTCTAGCCGTGTGTCGAGGGTCGGGCCATGGGACGTCCATGGGGCGAACCCGCTGTTCGTCTTCTTCTTTTTGGATGGGGGGGGGGGGATTCCCCTAGTCCCGAGCCCATCCGATCCGCCATCCTGCGGTGTGTGGCGGCTGGCGCCCTGTCCCTCTGGACAATGTCTTCTTCAATCGAAGCATACTTCTGCGCTCGGGTCAATACTTCAGCATAGCTGGTCCCCGGTCGCCAAAGCGTTGGTGAAGAGGGTGATGTCGGTTTACTCTGTCAGGTCTTCGACCTTCAAAGTTTCATCCCTCAATCGGATCAGGAAAGCAGAAAGGCTTTTTTTATCTACTAATCCCTAATAATGGGCTTAATTCATTAATCCCGTGCAATGGGCTTCACACGTGTGGTCTTCTATTGGGTCATGGTCACAGTCCATGGTACCATCGAATATTATTCGGAGTATTAAAAACTACCAAAAATAATCAAATTTAAAATATTACGGAGTAATACTAAAAACACGTGAATTTGTTTGTGTGTGTGTGTGTGTGTATATATATATATATATATATATATATATTTGTGTGTGCATATATATGTATATTAAAAAAGGGTTAAAGTAAATTCATATATATATATTTTGTACCGGTATTCTTAAACATGATTTTGCATCTCAACAGCTTATTATTATGAACAGTAAAAGAAAATGAACAGTAAACCTACCGATCATTTTATTTTGATCCATTGATGATAGAGACCGGTCAAAATAGCTAACAGAATTCGCTGATATCAACCATCCAATGTAATCGGCTATCAATTAACGACCAACGGCTTATTGCCAAACACTTCCATAGAGAGGCGCTTGGGGTTTTAGGATGTTTTTACTTGGACTGTAATTTGTTGGTCTGTTCTGAACTGGTCTGGTAATGTCTGATTTCTTTGTATTTTTATAACTATCCAAGTCTGATCTGGTCTAGTGTAGTTTGGTTTGATCTGGTACTCTGTTCTTATTTGATCTGGTCTGGGATAAAAAACAGTCTAAGTAATAACATACTCTTTTTTTTATCGTAGAGCTAATTAACATAATTAAAACGTGCATTTAAAATAACAATAATAACAATTGCTTAAAAAGGGAAATACACTTACGACGGAGTACAATAATTAGCATTCCAAAATTAGCATCCCAGATTGTTAATGCGTGTAAGAAATAATAAAGTGTTTTAATAATTACATATATATCCTAATTAATTTAGACTAGTTTGATGATGTATATATACTGTCGATGGATGTGCTCGATTACATATCGAATTGTTTACATTTTCATCAGAACTAAAATTACTTATGGCTTCTCTTCAAATGTTTATCTTTGCATTGCTTCTAGTTTACAGTCAAAGTGTCCCTACGCAGTTTTCAAAGCCCGGTTGTCCTGAGAAATGCGGCAACCTAACAATCCCTTATCCGTTTGGTATAGGAAAAGAGTGCTACTTTGATGATGAGTTTGAGATTAGTTGCAATAGCTCTACTCACGTCGCTTCCCTGCCTGCACTTGGCGGACTAAATATACAAAAAATTTCACAAGAAAACATCGTCGTTGATGCTTTCAATTTGCCATTTTTGTTCAACAAAACAACTGGGGAAAATCTCGATGGGCCTCTTTTGGGAGAGATTGATCGAAGTCATTACAATTATTCCAACACACAAAATAAGTTGGTTTCATTTGGTTGTGATACTTTTGCATACATACAAGATTATAGTAGCAGACAGATTGTAAGTGAATGTGCGACGTTTTGCAATGATGGAAATAATAGTTCTTTCTCAGATCTTGGACATTGTGAAGCTGATCTCATCTCTCACCCAGGGAAGCAATTCAGAGCATGGATGCATACAATGAACACGCCGAAAAAGTTATGGAAGGGAAGAGATTGTAACTTTCTGTTTATTGTGGAAAAAGATTTTTCTGTTTATGAAAAAATTGATTTCACAAATTGCGAAAAAGTGTACGTTTTTCCTCTAGCTCTAGATTGGGCAATTTCAAACACGACATGCAGCGATGGAAATGTCATTTGTGGAGAAAATGCTGAATGCATAGATCATAATGGAGAAAGGGGGTACTCATGTGAATGCAAACAAGGATACACAGGAAATCCATATCTCCCATCTGGATGCAAAGGTATGTACTCTATAAAATTTATTACAGATTTATATAGTATATTATTTCCATACTAAAATACATACAATACTTGTCACGCTTACTTAATTATTAATTTTATTTCCTCACATTTACAGATACTCAGGGTAAAATCAAGGCTTAGGAGGATGATGTGGCCGGGAGTGGAATGTGTACCAAAAATGGGAATGAGATTGGCAACTTCTAACTATCAATTTATTTAAGAGTTTCAATTGTTATATAAAATGATTGTTCTTATATAATTTTATTTGGAGTATTTATTTGATTATTTGAATTTTGAGTATATTCCTTAATCCAAGTTGTTATTGTGAATTAATGGGAAAGAGTACGTACTCCAATAGGAGCCCTGACAAATACTACGTATATTTATAATAATAGAAGAGTTGCCAAAATACAAAGTATTCCTAACCTAAATAGATATTAGACATATTCCTAAATAGGGGTGGACTCGGGCCGGTTCGGGCCCGGTTCGAGCCCGGCCCCGGCCGGGCCTCGGTTCATGAAAGGGGAGGCCCAGAACCGGCCTGGGTAACCCCCGGGTCCGGGCCGGGCCGGGCCTCGGTTCAAATTATATATTTATTTTTGGGAAAACTATCAAATAGGTCCTCGAACTTTCATTAAAAGGTCAATTAAGTCCTTTATAGGAAGTTCTGTCCGGCTATCGCGATTTGGGACAGTTCCTGGTGGAATTTTTTGATGAAATTTTTTGAGCATCTTATTCACCAAGTCTAGTTTACTCATACCAAATTTTCAGCTAAAAATTCAATCGGGAACACATTCAAATTAATTCTTGAAGATAACTGCGCATTTTTGCATTCTTGAATTAATTTGAATGCGCTTCCGATTAAATTTTTAGCTGAAATTTGGTATGAGTAAACTAGACTTAATGAATAAGATGTTCAAAAAATTTCATCAAAAAATTCCACCGAGAACCGTCCCAAATCGCGACGACCGGACAGAGTCTCCTATAGAAGGACTTAATTGACTTTTTTATGAAAGTTCGAGGACCTATTTGACAGTTTTCCCAATTAACCCCCAACCCCCCCCCCCCCCCCCCTCACCCCCAAACCACCTCAAATGGCCCAAAATACCCAGCCCAACCCAAAAACATAAAAAAAAATTCAAAAAAAAAAAAAAAAAAAAAACATTGGCCTGGACCGGGCCCGAACCGGCCGGGCCGGTTCACATTTTGAGGGGCCCGAGCCTGGACCGGAACCCAAGCGGGTTGGGCCTACCCGGACCGGTCCCTGACCGGGCCGGTTCAAACAGTAACTGGTTTGGGCCTGTTCCGGGGCGGGCCGCCCGGCCCGAGTCCAGGCCTATTCCTAAATACTTCCTCCGTTCCATAAAAGTTGCAACATTTGAATTTCTGCACTATTCACACACCTTACTTTGACTACGATTTTCTAATAATATATATAATAAAATTATTATGTATAAAATGGCCGGGAAAGATTTTCTAGTAATGTCTAGTCTCTTAGTATTTTTATAACTACCCAAGTCTGGCCTGGTCTGATCTGGTCTGGGACAAATTATAGTCCAAGTAAAAACAGCTTTAGGCATATTCCTAAATAGATACTCCCTCCGTCCCAGAAAATTCTTCCAACTTTCCTTTTTGGTACGTCCCAGAAAATTCTTCCAACTTCACCTTTTTGATTATTTGTGTGGCTCACATTCATTTCACCTTTTTCTTACGCAACTACAACCACACATTTCTACTTTATTCCCACTTTCTTAAACTCCGATCCAAGTCGAACTTGGAAGAATTTTCTGGGACGGAGGGAGTATTAGCCTATTAGTTATAACATTTGCTGCTTGGTTGGTGATAACAAGATTTTAATTAGTTTTATTTGGAATTAATTATTTTTAAATTCTTTATGCTATTTTACCGTGATTATTTATCAAACAAACCGTTGTTATATTGAATTTTTTGAAAGCAGTTAGTGTAATGTAATAATGTATTCATTTAATCAAGAGAGATGCATTACACTTGTACACAGTGAAATAGCGTTTTTTACAACAGCAACAAATAAAAAACGTTTTTACAAAAGAAAACATTTCATTAAATTCTACATAGTAATATCATTTCATTAATATATGTAAATTTGGCTTTATACAATATACTAATGACACTTTCATTTGAGTATTTAACTTTTATCAATGGAACATACATTCGTGCATATTTAACTTTGAAGCTTTAATTGGAGTGTTTAACTTTTAATTAACAATATACACCCCAGCACGCCTATCCCTATGACCACCCTCGCCTGCCTCTCTCGATCTCCCCATTTTCACCTATGATGTCGTTACCTTCTTCTTTGTCTCAGTCTGCCCCGCCCGTTCCAGTTGTTAATTAATTAATTGAGCTTTGCTTTTGCATTAATTAAATTACAAAAAATCAAATCTCACAAATTTGCATTTATTTTATTAATACTTAATTCTCTTTTTTCGTCCCTTTGAAGATGATACTCATACTTTAGACCTATACTGTTACATTTATTTTAAATGCAAGAAAACTGACATAAGTTTTTGGCATCGTTGTCGTGGACGGTGTCAGTTTTAAGTGTTAGATAATTTTCAGTGAGTTTTTTTAATATTTTAGTTCTTTTTCCTTTGGTTTTTCGTAGGATTCTACTTTCTTAATCTTTCAGGGTCTCAGGCCGGTAAGAAAATTGTTACAATCAAAGGAGGGAAAGTGAGTTAGAGATAACCTATTTATCACAATTCTTGGAGGAACACCTTACTCTCAAACCTCCTTGGAATTTTCACGATATACTCTTTGTCCTAATTTACACACCTCATCAAGATTACTCTCATACCACAAAGGAAAAGTACGATAAAAGTCAACCCACAATGCAATAAAAGTCCCCTTCAATTTTAATTCTCATATCAAGGTTCCTTGCGAGTTTGGGATTTAGTCCTCGTCTGATTTGACCGACGATTCTAACTCTTGTACATTTTGATTTGAGTGTTCAAATTATCTGTAGGCATGCAATATTCTCTTGTAACCAACAAAGCTTTGTGACAAATTTCTCGATTTTTTTCGGAGTCATAGATTTTCTACCGTTGAGATCAGAACTCTCTCCTTATCTTCTGAAGAATGACCAAGATATTCATTTCCTCGAAATGAATATAATCATTCCTCGAAAAGTTGACTTTTGGAAGTGTACTCGTTTTTCTTTCTCCAATAGGTCCCTTCTGACTACCTAAAGAAGCAACATGGCTTAGTTCGAATTCTTTGAGTAGAGAATGAGAAAGAGAATCTGCCCCATTTGCAGGTAGTCTTCTCTGGATACAGAAACGATTGCTTCTGTGGGAAATAATAATTTATCGGAAGAAGTGGAATGCACAATATCAATTTGTAACAAGGCTTCTGAAATTGAAAAATCTGTTTTACAAGATTGATGTCTATCCCCATCTGGCCAAAGCATGAGTGGATCCAACTCAAAGTGAAGACCCGCATTACCTGAAAAGACCTCACATTTGGCCTGATCGATCCGCACCATTGGTTCCCTAACCGCGATTGCTTTTAATTGCTCTTCTAATTTCAGCCAAGAAACAATTAATTTCCAATCCATTATTTTCTCTCCTCAAGTATGAGTAAAGAATTGCACGCCTCCTCAATTATTCGGATAAAACCTCCATAGAATTGAAATTAACATCTCGAAGAATAACAACGGAGTTCTTTAGGTCTAATAGAGAAAAAGTCCAGTTACCAGAACAAAGTTTGGGAATAGAGACTTTGAATCAAGAAGTTTTTTCCAAATCAAAATCAATAAAAGAAACAATTCCATGTTTAATTTCAGAAACCCTAAAAAATTTGCGATTAATAAAATGAAATTGAAAGTGTTTACTTTCAATTGAGAGCCCGAACCCAGCTTCCTTGAGCAACGTTATACCTTGTTTCCCTAAACATTCTGTTTGCAGCAAGATTTTTCCTAGGCTGTCGATGAAACCAGGAGTTTGCTTCACTTCTTGTCAACAGGTACTCTCTTTCTCCGGCGCTTAAGAAATCTCCGCCGCAGTCGGTTCTAGAGTCAGGTCGTCGTCGGGAGTTCAAAAATTGGCGGGTCATAGTTCTGCACATAAGCTCACCAATTCTGACTCTGCTGTCCCGTCGTCGCCAAGGAGGCAATCCCCGTCTAGTGTGCAGTCCACTGGTGAAAGGTTCGCTGGAGATGGGGAGGAAGGATCCAAAGTTGAGTTCCCATGAATGCCGATTGTATGACCCTATCATCGCAGGTAAGGCATATCCCTTCTAATAGTAGTCTTAGCCGCCTCCGTCCGCAGCGGTGTGTGGCCATCGTCAGTCAGGTGTCGCCGGTCAGTGGACGCCTCTGGCTTCGCACAGGTGGCCGATAAGTGAACAACAACAGATCCCATAAGGATGGTTGACGAACCTTCAATTCATAAATCTGCGGCTCTTCCCCAGTTATGCGTCTATATTTTGATCCAGATCCGTACCTGTTAGTATTTTTAATAAACGGGTCGGGTATGCTATACTCCCTCCGTCCCTTAAAACTTTACAAACCTTCCATTTTTGGATGTCCCACTAACTTTGCCACTTTCCCTTTTAAGTAAAAAATTTGTGGTTCCAGTTAATTCTCTCTCCTCTGCACAAACCTCAACCACACAATTTTTACTTTATTAATCCCCGTGTCAGTCAAACTTGACAAAATTTTAAGGGACGAAGGTAGTATATAATTCTGACCCGTTAAGGACCCGAACTCGTTTAAAATTTCTTATAAATAGGGTAGACACACACACACTAATACATAAAAAGATTAGTCGTAATACATCAAATGAAAAATACAAACTAATACACACACATACATAATAACACAAAGAGTTATTAGTTGCAATTCTTCAATTAAAAATATACACACTATTACGGAGTACATACTAAGTGATACAGATCGAGATAGTGAGATACCCTGAAACTAATACTCATTTTCGTCGTTTATACATACTAATAAAGTCTGTATTGGAACCAATAGGCAAATCCTAATATCTAATATTAGTAATATTAATATTATTATATCATTCTCATATATAATGCTTTCATACTCACAATAGTCTATTCTACGAGCATTCTGTGCGAGAGAAAGCGATACAGATTGTTGAGTTATACGCCTCTACAAGAATTGACACTTTATTTGATAAAAGTGCTAATGTTTTATGAGAAATCTTGATTTTTATTAAACGAAGATATATTTTGGTTTTTAAGTTTGCGCACTTTGTTTTACATTTCATTTACAGGCCATGTTGTTTTCACAAAGTTTACAATGTTGTACATATTATACTTGGCGGGTCTACCCGACCCAGTTCCGAGACTCGTTGGGTCTAGGTCCGGGTCTAAATTTTCAAACGCGTCGGGTAAACGAGTCGGGTCCGAGTCCATTATTAGCTTAGCGGATCCGGTTCTGGAACACTATGTTCCGACCCGAACCCGACCTAGATCCCCTAAACTCAGTCTACCTTTTTTCAACACAAAATATTCATTCTTATCCTCACCCTCCTCCAATTACGTATCACTTCCAATCTCATTTTTCTGATCATTATTCTTCTTCACAAATACCTTAGGGTAAGATCGGACTCCTTTCTTGAATATCTTGTCCAAACTAAAACTCCAGAGGAATTTTCTCACTGTCTTCTTAAGAATAACATTTGTTTCTTTTGTGAAAAACGTTACGATTTATCTTTTTTCCCCCACCACAACAAAATGGACATTTCACAACACTTTATTTGTAACACTTATATTTTTGTTACACATGTCCTTCGAACTCAATATTTTGCAACACTTATTTATAAATGTTGCATTAACATTTAAAGTGTATACTTATGCAACACTTGTCGTAAAATGTTGGAAGTGATTAAGCATTTTGTAACGGAAAAATCTATTTGTACACACAAGCTAGTTGTACACTTTTTGTACACACACCATAGTTGCCTGTGTACACAGGCAACTCATTAAGAAAAATGCAACATTTGTCTCCCAATTACCTGTGTACACAGACAGTGTGTACACAGGCAACTCATTAAGAAAAATGCAACATTTGTCTCCCAATTACCTGTGTACACAGACAGTGTATAATTTGTGTACAAATAGTGTGTACATCAAGAATGACCCTTTCACAACAATTGCCCGTAAAATGTTGCAATAGATATAATACATATACACTTGTACGTTAATGATAAGTTCGTACTTCAACACACATTTGATATGTGTTGGGATCGACTTTTGATGGTTCTCCTAGCTTTAAGGTGTTATAAGTCTCAATTTTAGCTCAAGTTATGTTTACCAGGCGTTGGTTCGAGTTTTGTGTTGTTTGGAGTGAAAATCAGGAATTTAGAGTCCGGCATCGGCGCTTGAGAAGCAATAAAGAAGAGGTTGAGAGCATTCGAGAGAGATTTGAGAGTTTTGGAGGTCATCGGGAGGTTCACGAAAAAGATTTGATGAAGAAAAGACCTTTGGATTGATCAATGAGGCATCCGGGAGCATTTGGAGCGAGAAACGAAGAGAGACGTTGAAGAAAAGGCTAGGCACGGCCATGCCCAGCCTTAGGCACAGTCGTGCCTGATGAAGAATGAGGTACTAACTCGCTGGAATTGCCAGGCACGCCATGCCCAGCCATAGGCACGGTCGTGCGTGAAGAACAAACTTGTACCCCATCTCGGGAAAGCCAGACACGACGTGCCTCCGTGCTAGGCACGACAGTGCCTGGACGCGAAAACTTGGCCTTGCTTCGCAGACACGGTCGCAGGCACGCCATGCCAGGCGCCGTGCCAGACCTCAGTTTGTCTTAATTCAGCTCAAATTTCTCTGGTTCATATAAATAAGGCCTTCATTCTCCTGTTTAAGGGGTTACGAACATTACGGAGAGGCCCAAGGACGAATTTATCTGCGTTTTTCCATTGTTTTCTTCAAGACCATGAGATTATTTATAAGTTCAATCTTTTTAATTAATGACAATTATTTCTCTTCATCCCAATTATGTTGATTCTTCAATTATGAATTGTGAGTACTTTAATTAGGGATTTGGGGTTGATGAAGGGGTTGATATGATGTATGGCTAGTTTCTTGATGGATTAATTGCATGAATGCCGTTTAATTTGTGTCTGAATAATTTAACTGATATCTTTTGTAACCTGGAACCGCGGCTAGAATTACAATTGCTTGTAGAATAAATTAAGAGAGATCTAATTTGTTCTAGGACACATTCACACACACTTAATCGTTCGCTACTAGATTAGTAGCGATTAAGGGGCCGTAAGCTCGCTCGTCTTGGCAATAATTTAGGATCCTGTCGCATGAGAGATTAGTCTGGTTCCCTAAATTATTATACTCTACGCCGCGAGAGCGGTAAGAACTTATTAATGATTAGCTAGGCTCAATTAAATTAATTTCATGTAATTAAGCCTGATCTGCCAGAAATCTAGTTACCCCGGAATCAATCTATGTTCCCTTCGTCATTAATGAGGGAGAAATCAATCTACTTTTATTCCTTATTCCGCATTTATTTTTCTGAACCATCATTCTCGCACAATTGCATTTTATTTTATTTCTTTTTAATCGCTGAATTTAGAGAATTCTTATTTCCCTTTTATCCGTCCCTATGGAGACGATATTCGTACTTACACCCTATACTACTATCATTTTTAAGTGCGAGGAAACTCACATCAGTTTTTGGCACCGTTGCCGGGGACGGTGTCGGTTTTAAGGGTTAATTAATTTCATTGAGATTTTTTGTAGTTAGTTTTTCTTTTAGTTTTTCCGTAGGATTTTTCTTTTATAACCTTTCAGGTATTTTTCTAAGAGGATGAGATGAACCCATCAGCTCGATTTATGGAGGAACACCTCACCCTCAAACCTCCACGGAATATTCACCATTTGCACCATGTCCTCCTTACACTCGTCCTCTTCCTCCTCAATTTTACACACCTCACCAATATTACTCTTCTACACCACAAAATATTCCATCTTCTTATTCTTACCCTCTTCCAAATACACAACATTCCCAATCTCATTCCCCTCATTTTTATCCTTATCCACAATATCCTAGGGCAAGACCAGACACCATTTTTGAATACCTTATTCAAACTAAAACTCCTGAAGAATTGATGGATTGTTTTCCTAAGAATCGCATTTGTTTCTTCTATGGAGGAGGTCACCATTTATATCTATGCCCCATTTCTCCATATTATCATCTTTACTGGGCAACTGCATACCCCACTTCGCCTTCCCCACAACCCACCAACACAAATCTTTCAGCCGCTCCTACATCCTTGCCAAGCAATGAGCTACATAATCAATTGCAGCAGGCGGAACATAATATGCCTAAAATACAACAAACCCACATTAGCATGGAAGAAACACTCAAGGAGTTTATGGAAAAGGCTGCAGCATGCCAAAAGATCATGCAGAATCTAATCGACATGGCGGGTCAGCTGGCAGAAGCCCAACCTGAGGAGATCAATAGGGATGATCATGAGATTGAGTCAGACTGCGATGGTGGGAGTATGATGGATGATACACTTCTTGATGCTTTTGAAGACCCACCTATGTTTGAACTTGAACTAGAAGATAGTAGTCTCAAGTTGTTTTTCCAAGAATACAAGCAAAAGTTTCAAACGATACAAACTGTAACTGATGAAGTCACAAATCACTGTGATTTTCATACAGAACCCCCCCAACCGTTTGATTTACCATTAGTCTCAACACCTGATGAGGGCATGAAGCAGACCAGTTGTGATGATGGTGCCATTGAGGTAGGTTTGGGCATTGAAGATGAGTTGGGAAAAGATGATTACACACTCCAAGAGAGTGGAGGCGAGGTAGATGATGTCCATAATGAAGAAGTCCTACTCCACAAGCAAGATTACCCCTCTTGCACAATGCACCGATCCACTCTTACGTGATTTCAGATTTGGATTTCTTTGATCCACTCCTTGATGTGGAGAATAACAACATCATCCGAAAAGACATTGATAAGAACGGTGTTAACGAGAGTTGGGATGATCGCATGGGGAGTGATACAAAGTCCAGAGGAGGTTTTTTGAATGTTCATAATGTTTATGAGGAAGAAAAGACTTTTCTATGGTGCAGTTTGAGGATTGTGTTGCTCCTAATCTTTGCTTTGAGACATGTTTTCAACTTCCGGTAATGCCTAGAGTAATCAATGTTGTGACTCATGTTCGCTGCCCACACGAATAGGATGTGAGTTTCATCCTTCACTTCTGTGCTGATGAGGGTTATGAAGACCATGTGCTGCCTACGTGTACTCGAGAATTTAAAGGTCTGCGCCACTTAATGGCATTTGTGGAGCGAAAGTTAGAAACTTTGGAAATTAGTGCACCGTTAAAATATTTACTATTTGAAGGCTTATGAGGTATCATCGGGCAAACAACGTTAAAAATAGCGCTTTTTGGGAGGCAACCCAAACTTATTTCTGCACTTTTGTTTTTGTTTGTTTAATTTCAGAAAAACCCCCGGAAAAAATAATATCCAGGCCGTTTTCTATTTTTGTTTTTGTGTTTGTGTGTTTTGCAGCTCAGTATTTTGCTTTGGGATGATGTGCCGAGAATCACTTTACTCAGTTTAGTTCTGCACCGACCAGCGCCTTAGGGAAGTTTCTGCGACTCTTATAATCATCTGTTTGTAATGTTGACTTGAGTTGAGATTGAGCATGCGTGACTGATAAGTCTGTATTTAGACACACATTTGATGCGTGTTGGGATCGTCTTTTGATGGTTTTCCTAGCTTTAATGTGTTACAAGTCTCAATTTTAGTTCAAGTTATGTATACCAGGCGTTGGTTTGAGTTTTATGTCATTTGGAGTCAAACATGGGAATTTAGAGTCCGGTACCGGTGCTTGAAGAGCAATCGAGATGAGTTGAGAAGCATTCTAGATTGATTTGAGAGCTTTGGAGGTCACCGGGAGGTTTACAATGAAGATTTCAAGACAAAAGAGATCTAGAATTGGCTACGGGATCAAAAGAAGACGAATAGATCTTGAAAACGGCGATCAGAATGACCTTCTGTCAATCGTTCAAGCATATCTCTTTGTAGAAGCATCCAAAGGACACGATTAAAGTTCCATATGAAATTCAACTGAAAGGGCTACAAATCATATGAAGACATCATTCCGAGAATCTGAGAGGAGCAAGGTGAAAACAGACGATGCAGTCACATGATCTCTGTTGCGATTTCAGAATGCCACCTTCCACCATATTATTAATATCTCTTGATTGGATGATTCAAATCCAATTCTGCAAGTTGTGATGGATAGAGGACTTCATTATCTACAACTTTCATGAAGCTAGTTGTAAGGAATAAATGTAATTAGATTTTGATGATGCTATAGGATTAGAAAGTAAGAGTACCCCCAAGTTAGATTCTATGTATTAGATTTTTTAATTGTAAGTATTAGTGTAGTCGTCGATCAGAGTTGCTCTATTTTGGATCAGATCAGAAGTGCATCAGACTTGCTCTATGAGAACTGCTCCATCAGAGTTCTCTTAGCAGAAGTCCATCAGAGTTGCATCATACGAGTTGCTGATGAACCTGGACATCTGATAGCCGATGAGAACTACAGATCAGAAGTACTCATCAGCGGACCTATCAGAGTCAGAGTCAGAGTTCAGTCAGAGATCAGAAGACCATCAGAACTCAACTCGTCAGAAAGCCATCAGAATCCAACATATCAGAAGAGCCTGATCAGAGCCCGACTAACACTTAGAAGATTTCATGCAACATCCAACAGCTATGAATCCAACGGGTAAAACATCCAACGGCTAGAAGACTGTGCATGAAAGGAAAGCATTTAATGCACATTAAATGAGCCTGATACGCTGAAGGATTGATTGCAAATGATTGACCAAAGAATCCGGGAAGATATATTATAAAAATAGAAACCTTCCAAAAACGGCGGTCAAGTCAACAGTACGCGCATTTAATGCAGTTGTCTCCTCCTCCAACGGGCAGACAACCTCCGTATATAAGCTACACGAAGAAGAACAAGGAAGATAACTTTGCTACAACTTTTGCTCATCATTCAAGCTCTCTTGAGATTCAAATTCTACAACCTTCAACAAGACAAGCTTACGTTGGGAAGATTCAAACTCCAAATCTTTCATCCCCAACAAACAAGCAAAGTTCATCCTGTTCTTCAACACTTCAAGAACTTCATCAAACATCATTTGTAACGAAGCAAGTTGGAGGAAAAACTTTGTTTTTCAAAGGATCTTCTGAAAAGAAGGGCGTCCAAGTAACTGCAGTAGTGAAGTGGTGATACTTCCGGGAAGCTGAGTGAAAGGATCAGCCATCAGGACGTGGAACTGCATCCTGGGTGGCATCTAGGCTTGAAGAAGACGTGGAGTGCTTCTTGAGTGCTAGGAATTAGCTTTGTAACTGATCTACTTCAAAGCTAGTGGAACAGTGGACTAGAGGAACGAGTTGTTCCTTGAACCACTATAAAATATCCGGTGTCATTTACTTTACTGCAATTTATATTTCTGCACTTAGGATATTAACTGATTAACTCTAAGACTTGAAATCTGTGTACAGCAGATCTTGTTTTCAGAGTTATCAGAAAGGCATTTGCCTTAGTATTTTTCTGAGGCTACCCGGACAGATCAGAATCCGCTGCCAAGGCCAGTTCTGATATCAGAACCAGCCTTTCTCTGTCACCAGAATCAGACCTTCTCTGATAAGTCATTTTGGACTTAGAGAAAATTTGAAAAATCAATCAGTCTATTCACCCCCCCCCCCCTCTAGACTGATTACCATATTTAACGGGACCAACAAGTGGTATCAGAGCCTCCTTGTTCTTGTAATCTTTTAGGTTACTCTCTGAACAAAGATCCACTTGTTCTTAGCCTCTATTTATTTATTATTATAATGGATAATTCTCTTGCAAAGCATCTTATGTTCACAGATCAGAAGTATGATGATTGGAAGATCAGAATGAAGGCACATCTGTGTGCCCTTCATGATGAAATGTGGGAAGTCTTGGAAAGTGGCCCCTTTATCCAGTTTATGAAGATCAACCCTGCTCACTCTATTGATAACTCTCAGCCCCAGATGATTGAGAAAGCCCGGTCAGAATGGACCAAGGAAGAAAAAAGGCAGTACAACCTAGATAATATAGCCAAGGACATCCTTTACAAGGCTATTGATGAAAGATACTTCAACAGAATCAAGAAGTGCAGAACTGCCAAAGAAATCTGGGATAAGCTGGATGAGATTGGAGCAGGAGATGAACAAGAAAGAGATAACAAGTTGACCATTGCTATGAAGAAGTTTGATGACTTCAAACTTCTGCCAGAAGAATGTATTGCTAAGATGCATGAGAGACTGCTGATTCTCATTAGTGAGATTTCTGAGCTTGGAAAGGAGCTCACCATCAAAGAGGTCAACATGAAGATCCTCAGGGGACTGCCTTCTGCCTGGAAGATGAAGGTGATTGCAGTCCAGGAAAGCAAGAACATCAAGACTTATGCCACTGAGAAACTCATCTCTGATCTCAAGGCTTATGAGTTTGAGATGCATGAAGAGAAGGAAGAAGCTCCTGATGAAAGGACCACCACTGCTCTCACTGCCAGTACCTCTAAGGTAAGTGACTTTGACCCTTCTACTCTCTTATCTGATGAGTATATGGCTGCTTTTGCCAGAAAATTTAAGAAGTTTATGAAGAAAGATGGAAGGAGTCCATCTTCCATCAGAAGACCACATCAGAAGACCAAATCTTCTGAAAGCAATGGAGAGTACCTCTGCTACAACTGTAGACAGCCTGGACACTTCAAGGCTAACTGCCCCTTCCCAAGAGTGTCCAAGAAGCAAGGACAAGAAGAAGAAAAGAAACCAGATGATCAACATAGAAGGAGAAGAGCCTTTATCTCAGAACAAGCTCAGAGAGATCCACTCTCTGAATCAGAGTCCAGCTCAGACTCCGACTCTGATGAAGCATTCTGCTGCTTGGATGCAGAAACTGAAGACCTCTGCCTCATGGCACAATCAGATGATGAGGTATGCTCTACTTCTGATTCTATTTCTTCTTCGGTAGGCACAGCCTTAAATGATGATCCAATGTCATCATTTTGGGAAGAGTTCCAAACTATCCAAGCCACTTATTCTTTTGTTAAAGAAGAGAACAGTAGGCTGAAAGTTGATATCTCTAATCTAAGGAAAGAGACTGAGTGTAAACTTAATTTCTTAACTGAGGAAAGAGATAGACTGAAAGCTGAAAATGAGTCTCTTCTGAAAAGAATAAGAGACATTGAGGAACTTGAGAGTAGATATAATAGTCTTCTGAAGATGCAATCTTCCATGAAGAATATTGGTGACTCTCATAACTTCACCTCTGGTCTTGGATATGTTGAACCAGAGTCTGGTGAGCCTTCTGTAAGGCCTAGCACCCAAGTTGCTAAGGCTAAAAAGGTCATAGTGCCACAGACTCTGAGCCCCAATTGCCATGCTAGTACTTCTGGTACTAAAGTTGTTCATGAGAAGGTCATACCAGAAAAACAAACTCTAAAGGCCAAACCAAAACAAAGTTTGAAAACTAACAAACCTGGCAGAAATTCTAACAAAAGGGAGAGTTTTCAGAACAATAACAATCAAAGGCCTAACCCTATCAGACAATCTCATAACAATGGTATCAGAAACTGCTATCAGAAAGGCAGATATCAAGAGAAGATTAACTATAGGCAGAAGAGGTTGTCTGGTCAACCTCAGAAGTCTAAAGTTAAGCGCTCCTCTGATCTTGATAGTATATGGGACTTCTTTCCAACCAAGAAGGCTATGCAGAAGTATGCAAACAGAAAGCATGATCCTCACAAGCATCTGCCCAAAGTGAATCATACATCTGTTTACTACAACTACCAGGTGGACAATGGGTACCATCCACCAAGGTTTCAGCTGATGAGACCAAAATGGTACCAACTACCGAGACTGCATTACCCCCCAGGACCCAACATTGCTTGGGTACCTAAATCTTCCTTTTAATCTTGCAGGAACTGTGTGCTGGAGCCATCTCAGAACAAGAATGGTATATTGACAGTGGATGCTCCAGACACATGACAGGTGACAAGAGTTGCCTATCAGAGTTCCAGAAAATCAATGGACCCAGAGTCACTTTCGGTGGAAATGACAAGGAAGGGCAAACAAAAGGAAGAGGGAAGCTGATCAAGAACCAGATAATCATTGAAGATGTCTCATATGTCAAGGGTCTGAAGTTCAACTTGCTGAGTGCTAGCCAATTCTGTGACAAGGGCTACACAGTTGAATTCACCAAAACCTTATGCTATGTCAAGCATGAGACAACCAAAGAAGTGGTTCTTACAGCCAAGAGAAGGAAGAACATCTATGTTGTTGACTGGCAAACAACAAAAGATGGAACTTGCCTGATAGTTAAGGACAATTCAAAGCTAAGCTGGGACTGGCACAAAAAGCTTAGCCATCTGAACTTCAAAACCATCAACAAACTGGCAAGGGAACATATTGTAGATGGTCTGCCTGACATTGTCTACAAGAAGGAGACCCTCTGCAGTGCTTGTCAGAAAGGCAAACAAGTGAAGACCTCATTCAAACCCATAGCTGGAGATCTTTCTATTTGTCCTCTAAATCTGATCCATATGGATTTATTTGGACCAGTTGAAACTCCCAGTGTTGGTGGAAAAAGATATACTCTTGTTATGGTTGATGATTACTCAAGATATACTTGGACTGTGTTTCTGACTAAGAAGAATGAAACTCTTCAGAAGTTGCCATCTCTGCTAAAGCAACTCCAAACTGAGAAGAATATGAAGGTCAGAACAATCAGATCTGACAGAGGAACTGAATTTGTCAATAAGGTGATCAAAGACTTTTGTGATCAGAATGGTACATTCCATCAACTTTCTGCTGCCAGAACACCCCAACAAAATGGTGTTGCAGAAAGAAGGAACAGAACACTGAAGGAAGCTGCAAGAACTATGATTGCAGAATCAGGATTGCCCATCAGATACTGGGCTGAAGCTATCAACACTGCATGCTACACTCAGAATAGAAGCATGATCCACAAGAATCATCAGAAGACCCCCTACGAGCTGTGGAAAGGAAGAAAGCCAAACATCAGCTACTTCCATGTGTTTGGATGCAAATGTTACATTCTAAACAATGGAAAGGAGAACCTGAAAGTATTTCAAGAAAAAGCTGATGAAGGTGTATTCTTAGGCTACTCAAGTTCAAGCAAAGCCTACAGAATACTTAACAGGAGATCCCTACAAGTTGAGGAATCTATTCATGTCAAATTTGATGATAGTACTTCTGCAGAAGAATTATCAGAAACTCTGCAGAAGATCAACCTTGAAGACAAAGGTGCAGAACTATCAGAAGAGGTCATCAACAACCCTATATTCTCAACTCCTCCTGCCAATCCAGCTCTGATAGACAAAGATGAAGATGAAGATGATGTATCAGAAGATGAACCATCAGAGTTGCCTAGACAGCAACTGTCAGAACCTGATCTAACTTGGTTAAGAGACCATCCTCCTAATCAAGTGATAGGTCAAGTCACCAGTGGTGTTAGAACCAGATCTGCATCAAGAAGAGAAGCCATGTTCACCTGCTGCATATCCCAGATGGAACCAATGTGTGTGGAAGAAGCTCTAGAAGATTCAGATTGGATCAATGCAATGCAAGAAGAGCTGACACAATTTGAAAGGAATGAAGTTTGGAAACTTGTTCCCAGACCAAAGCATCAGAATGTCATTGGAACCAAGTGGGTATTCAAGAACAAAGCAGATGAAGAAGGCAACATTGTAAGGAATAAAGCAAGGCTTGTAGCAAAGGGATACTGTCAAGAAGAAGGCATAGATTTTGATGAAACCTTTGCACCTGTAGCAAGACTGGAAGCAATCAGGATATTTCTAGCCTATGCTGCTTACAATGACATCAAAGTATACCAGATGGATGTTAAAAGTGCATTTCTGAATGGAGAACTTGAAGAGGAAGTCTATGTTGAACAACCTCCAGGTTTTGTCATTCCTACTCAATCTTCTTGTGTCTACAAGCTTAGGAAGGCCCTTTATGGTCTTAAGCAAGCTCCTAGAGCCTGGTATGACACATTGTCCCTATTCTTAGTGAACCATGGGTTTACTAAAGGAAAGGTGGACAAAACTCTATTTCAAATTTCTGTTGCTAATCATATTCTGTTAGTGCAAATTTATGTTGATGACATTATAT